CACCTTTGAACTTGGGCCCTCCTTTGCTGGCTGCCGGCTTTGTCCTCTTCTCCACTCCTGCCCCGTCAGCAACAGGAGTCCAGGGGATTGTGAGTGGCAGCAATCCTCAAGGGCTTCCTGGGTTCATCCCTGTAATTAACACAGGGGCAGCAGGGAGGGGTAAAGAAGAGGTGTGAGCTGTGGCTTCTCTGCCAAAAAGGGCTTCCATCTCACACCCACACATGGCTTGGGGTGGGGAGTGTGTGTGTACATTAGTTCAGCTCTATGGAGGGCCATTCAGCAGTAGCTGGGGAATTTTAATGCACATGTCCTTTGACCCATGAGTTCCACTTATATGAATTTATTCTACAGACATCCAGGCACATATGGAAAATGGTATACATACAAGATTGTTCACTGCAGTGTTGTATGTAACAGCAAAAGATTATAAACAACTTAAGTGTCCATCAGCAGGAGACTAGATTAATCAACTATAGTGCATCCACACACTGGAAGGGTATGCAGCCATTAAAAAGAGCAAGGATGATTTTATATACAGATCCAGGACAATCTCAAGGGCGTTATAATAAAAACAAGATGTAGAACAATATTATGGTACTGTACCATGGGTGTAAAAATTATACATTTTTACACCCATGGTTGGGGTGTTGCTTTATCTAGGCATAAAACCTCTTAGGATAGAAACACAAGGAAATGTTAACAGGGAGGGGAACTGGGTGGTGGGCGACAGGGGCGGAAGGGCACCTTTTCACTCTATAGCCTTTTATGCCGTTTGGGTTCTGAACAATGTGAACGTATTTGTTATTTGTGGTTGGCAAGAAACGGCCTCCCCAAAATGTCCACACTCGAATCCCCAGAACCTGTGAGTATGTTGCCTTATGTGACACAGGGGTTTGCAGATGGGATTAAGGTTATAGATATTGAGATGGGGAAGTTATCCTGGTTTATCCAGATGTGTTCAATCTAATCGTATAAGCCCTTAAAAGTAGGAACCTTGCCTGGCCGTGGTCAGACAGGGAGACATAACTACGGAAGAACCTTCAGAGAGATGCTATGCTGCTAGCTTTGATGATGGAGGAAGGTGTACCACCCAAGGAATGCAGGCGGCCCCTGGAGGCTTAAGAAGGCGAGATGTTCCTCCCTAGAGCCTCCAGGAAGGAACACAGCTAAGCTGACACCTTGATTTTAGCCCAGTGAGACCCTTGTCAGACTTCAACCTCCAGAACTATAAGATAATGAATTCATGTTGTGTAAACCACTAAGTGTGTGGCCATTTGTTACAGCAGTAATACAAAGCTAATATTCTACTCAAAACAATAAATAAAGAAAACTTTTTTTTTTTTTTTTTTTTTGAGACGGAGTCTAGCTCTGTCGCCCAGGCTGGAGTGCAGTGGCGGGATCTCAGCTCACTGCAAGCTCTGCCTCCCGGGTTCACGCCATTCTCCTGCCTCAGCCTCCAGAGTAGCTGGGACTACAAGCGCCCGCCACCTCGCCTGGCTAGTTTTTTGTATTTTTAGTAGAGACGGGGTTTCACCGTGTTAGCCAGGATGGTCTCGATCTCCTGACCTCGTGATCTGCCCGTCTCGGCCTCCCAAAGTGCTGGGATTACAGGCTTGAGCCACCGCGCTCGGCCAAGAAAACAATTTTTAAGAGTCCCAGTCTAATAGTTAGAGTGGGACTCAGCACATGCACTGAGGAAACACATTCACTTTCAGTGTAGTGCCGTGCAGTGCAGCAGACTGTCAATGCTGTGGGACATAGCCCTGTTTATGAAGGACAGGTGGAGTGCCCATTACAGGCCAGGCACTGTGCTAGGTGCAGGGGCCACAAAATGAAAAAGACATAGTCCCCATCCTGGGCTGAGTTGTGCAGTCTCTCTCCCCCTCCCTTTAAAACCACCCTCCAGGATGCCAGTACTGTGTACCCCCACTGCGTGGCCTCTGTTAAATGTGGAATTTCTAGGCCCTTTGCCATCTTGGGCCTTAATGGACCAGACTTTAGCTCATTCTTCTACATGTGACCAGCCAACTAGTCTGAGTGGTGGTAGGGCCGGAGGACCTACCACCTCTGGAGAAGCTTGATTCTACTTTAAACTTTCCTCCTCCAGTGTTTAGCACAGACATCATTCATTTCAGCATCACTCCAAGATTGGGCGACTCAGAGTCTCTGCCTTTGGAGCTGTGTGCCCAGCCTCCTCTCACAAGACCACACACCCCCTTATGTAGGGATCTGCCTTATTCCTTTGTCAACCGGTCATTTCAACAGGACAGAACATATTATAGGGACTCCCTAAAACACATATGCAACCTCTATAGTTTGCATCTGGTGGTGCTAGGTGGGCATTAGGAAATATGCAAAAAACTAATCAAAAAAAGACGCAGACTTGAACTTGGTCCTCTTGATGTAAAGAGAAAACTTATCATTGCTCTTCTCTGACATTTCCTTCATCCATGCCCATTTCATATTGGAAAATATACCGAGGGGAAAAAGTGATTTCCTCCTTTAGTCCTCCCTGCCCTGATGGGTATGGCCACGATGCTGTGACCCTTCGATTTGAAGGGGCCACCAAGCGAACTGCTAATAGGTGCTCCTCAAGTCCTGCCAGCTACCAGCCAGCCAGCACCATGCCTAGGCCTGCATTAAAGCCCCCTTGACCCTGTGGCCCCTGCTGTGCTCTTCTGCCACCTCCCTGCCCCTCCCCCAGCTTCTGTGCCTCCCATCTGTCCCTCGGGGCTTTTTACCTTGGCCAGATGCATGTGTGTGTATGAGAGCAGAGGGGCAGCAGGCACAGCCAGGTGATGCATGTCCACTCAGGAACTCTTGGAAACCAGCCCTCCCCAGGGGAATGACCTCGCTGGCACCGTCTTAGCCTCTATGGCAGATCTGGAGCTGTGTTTTTTGTTTGTTTGTTTTCGATACAGAGTCTAGCCTTGTCACCCAGGCTGGAGTGTAGTGGCGCCATCTCGGCTCACTGCAACCTCCATCTCCCAGGTTCAAACTATTCTCCTGCCTCAGCCTCCCGAGTAGCAGGGATTATAGGCATGCGCCACCACGCCCTGCTAATTTTTGTATTTTTAGTAGAGACAAGGTTTCACCATGTTGGTCAGGCTAGTCTTAAACTCCTGACCTGAAGTGACCCATCCACTTCGGCCTCCCAAAGTGCTGGGATTTCAGGCATGAGCCACCCCCCCCAACCTGGAGCAGCATTTTTATTTGTGAGATGGCAGGGTCCTCTGGAACAAAACAGTCAGGCAGCCATGGTCCTTGCCCTAATAGGGAACTGTGGTCTGCAGGGAAGTGTGGCAGTGAAGGGGATGCACTTTGGAATGAGGTAGGTGAGGATTTGAATCCAGACTCCGCCTTTATAAACTGTGTGACCTTGGCTGCTTACCCATTATAAGCCTCAGTTTACTCATCTGTAAAATTGGGAGCTAGACTCGGACCTGGGATGACACCAGGGATGTATAAAGCTGGCGTTGAATTCTAAATCTGAGCTTGCCTTCTAGTCTGGCTCCTATGATGGCGTCAACTCCTAACGGTATATAACATCCCCACCCCTCCACCCCCCAAGTGGCAAAGTGGAAATAGGTTCCAATTCACGGGCAAGGTTGTTGTGATGACTGCAGTGAGTTAGCCTTGGAAAATGCCTGCCTCTTGGTAGTTATTATTTTGCAAGGCTCATGCTATTTTACAGTCTTGGCTTATGTCTTTGCCACCATGCTGCTCCCTGGGGCAGGCCAACAGGGCTGTGGGCTCACAGAGGCCTCTGCACCTGCCTTCCAGGCCTCCTCAGCCCTGATTCCTGCCTTTTTGCATGTTGACCTCAGTGTCTTGCAAACCATTTCCCACCCTGGTCTCAAAGTGATTTTGGTGTTTCATCCGCAGAACCTTCTCCTTCATGTGGCTGGAGCCTGGCCTTTTCGTAGGTATTAACATCTCTCAGAATGGCCTACCTCTCTGCTTGAAAACTCCAATTCTCTTTTGTGACCACAGCCTCCAGGCTCTTTGCTGGTTCCATCCCTGAGCAGGGAGTTCAGATGTTCCAGTGGAATCTTGGTAGGGTTGGTGAGAAAGCAGAGGTTGGCTGGGTCAGGTAAGGGAAGAGGCTGCCCACCTCATAGCATGTGAAGCCTTAGTGGAAGCTGGCATGCCCAGGGGGCCAAGGCAGAGGCAGCAGGGTGAGGATTCATGCTGCTTGACGGGGAGAGGAGGGAGTGGGTGCACACGTGTTGCTCTGCCAGTCAGTTCTGCGTCTGAGGAAGCCTGCCTCTAACCTCCTGCCTCTGGAGGGGTTCCTAGGGGAAGCGGGGAAAAGGAAGCCTCAGCTGAGGAATTATGGTATCTTTTATGGGAAAAAGCAACAGGCAAGAGCATATTGAAATTTGGGGATCACAGCCAGGAGTGGTGGCTCACGCCTGTAATCCCAGCACTTTGGGAGGCCGATCACTTGAAGTCAGGAGTTTGAGACCAGCCTGGCCAACATGGTGAAATGCTGTCTCTATTAAAAATACAAAATTAGCAGGGCATGGTGGTGTGTGCCTGTAGTCCCAACTACTTGGGAGGCTGAGGCAGGAGAATGGCTTGAATCCAGGAGGCAGAAGTTGCTGTGAGCCTGGGTGACACAGCGAGACTCTGTCTCAAAATAAATAAATAAATAAATAAATAAAATAAAATAAAATAATTGGGGGAATCTCTCTATAGAAAAGGGTGATGCTGGCCGGGCACGGTGGCTCATGCCTGTAATCCCAGCACTTTGGGAGGCTGAGGTGGGTGGATCACGAGGTCAGGAGTTTGAGACCAGCCTGACGAACATGATGAAAACCTGTCTCTACTAAAAATACAAAAATTAGCTGGGTGTGGTGGCGTGTGCCTATAATCCCAGCTACTCAGGAGGCTGAGACAGGAGAATCACTTAAACCTGGGAGGCAGAGGTTGCAGTGAGCCAAGATCATGCCACTGCACTCCAGCCTGGCAATAGAACGAGATTCCATCTCAAAAAAAAAAAAAAAAGGAAAAAAGAAAAGGATGATGCTAGGGATGTAGAGTTGGAATGAAATTCTAAATCTGATCTCACTTTCGCATCTGGCCTCCATGCTTGGTCAGCTCCTCTGATGATCTGTTAGCCCCGCACGGGGGAAACCAGCCACTGAGACAGAAGGAAGCAGCCAACCAGTAACACTCCACCTATCCAGAGACCAGTCTGCAAGCAAACTCTCCTATCCAGAACACAGACATAGGTGGCAAAGTCAGGTAAAAGGGCCTCTGGTTAGCAAAAATGGCTAAAGCCTGGCACCTTATTTCCAAGAACACCCCTGCCTCCACCCTCACTCAGAACCCCAGGGTTGCCCAGCCTTGGGGGAACCCATGTTCTACATTAGAAGTATGAGAAGCAGATTGAGGCAGGTGTTCTCAGCCAGGGCATGACCTATGGGAGACTGACTATGAGGAAGGGGTGGATAGAAGAAGAAAAGCAGAGAGGCAGAGACAAATGCTCAGCATGGCAAAGAGCCTCATGCGGGTGGCAGTGGGTCAGCAAGACAAGGTTCAGTCACGTTCAGCATCTCAGCCCTTCAAGTGCTTTGTGGGGTGAGGCTGGAGCAGAAGGTACACACGTTTTAGGGTTTGTATCCTTTGCCACAAAAAGAAGAGAAGCATGTAAACATTAAAAAAATACTTTATGCAGTAGGGTTAAAAATAAAACGCATTTTGTTGCTTCATGGGGCAATATTGAGTTGTCTAGAAAATTGTTGTGTGTGAAATATCTCACCTGTATTACTAGATAAATGGTTATTTCCATGGGCATCATAGAGTATGAGAGCCAGATAGGACCAAGAGATCCTATAAAACCCATTTTAACATTTTTATAGATCATGTAATTGAGGTTCAGAGATGAGACGTGATTTGCCCAAGGTCCCACAGCCAGATGGCAGCAGAGCTGGGCCTTGCACTTGGTTCGCCAGAGTGCAAAATGGATCCAGGAACTGGGCAGCAGGCCTGGGTCCAGACGCTGCACCTCAGGCAGGATCAGCCAGACTTGGGCTGGGACCCCCTCCAGCCTCCCAGAGGTCAGAGCCAAGGCCTTGTTGGTTCACTGGGGGACCTGAAATACCTGCCCAGGAGCATGCTGAAGAGACAGAATGGGATGGAGGTCTGGGGGTGTAGGGGGCGGTGCTGGTATGCCAGGAAAGCACAACAGAAGTGCACAGGGCACCTTGGGGGATGGGCAGTTAGGAGTGGGGTGAGCAAGCCCAGTTCCTAAGTGAACTCTGAGGCTGCTATTCTAGAACAGTCCACCTCTACGCATGTCAGAAACCAGTTTGAAAGGTAGCTTATAGCCCTGAAATAGGAAACAAAGAAGAAAATGCCAAGCACTCCTAGTAATCCTGCAGGAACCAGCTCCTGGAGTCTGATTTTTGCTTTCTATTTCCTGCAAGAAAGGGCTCCAAACCCAGCCTGTCCAGTGCACACCTACGGCAGCTTCTTACTGAACAGCTATCCACAGACTTCCTATTTTTACCCTTAATAACTGCAAGCTCGGGGTTACCAAGGTCTTCCTGTTGCTATAGTGAGAGGTGATAGCACCAGCCTTCCAAAGCGCTGGACCCTTGGCTTAGAGGAGAAACAGAATCTGGGTTGCTTTATTTTTGGGTTTGACTGAGAAGATTTAATGCACCATTTTCCAGCCTTTGCAACAATGGCAGTTTGTGCTTAAAATACAGAAAACCTCCATAACAAAGAATAACTGGCAATTTTGAGGAGTGGACATCAGAGAGTATATAGAAGATAAATTTTAAATTATAAAAATGATACAACTTCATCCAGAAAATCCAGAAAATGACAAGAAAATAAAAACACATGTTGTTACATTACCATAGAACAACCTTCATGGTCCTCATGATTTATCAGCTTTCCTAAACATGCATTTGACAGCGTTGAAGACATAGTATCCATATAATTGGTAGTCTGCTTTTTGAGTTAATATGCTATAAGCATTCTTCTGTGTTGCTGCATTATCTCAATAAGCGTTATTTTTATTGGTTGGCTAATGTCATAATTTCATAAAGCATTCTCCTACTTTTACTCTTTGTCTCTTGAATCCACACTTGGTCTCCATTATACCATCTCTGTCTAAATTCTACTCCTCCTCTGACTTGGATAACTGGCCGACCTTGTGCCTGTCCCCTTTCTCTTTCCCCCTTTCCCTTTCCCCTCCCCATACACGTGCTAGGACATCTTCCACTCTGCAGCCTGGCTAATCAGAAGGTGATTCCAGACCAGTGACATGGGCATCCCCTGGGAGCTTGTTAGCAATGCAGGATCTTGACTCCACCTGGGACCTACTGGACAGCACCTGCATTGTGACAAGATCCCAGGTGATTCATAAGCATGTAGAAGTTTGACAAGCACTGATCTAAAACACACTTCCCAGCCACATGTGGTGGCTTACGCCTATAATCCCAGCACTTTGGGAGGCGGAGGCGGGTGGATCACTTGAGGTCAGGAGTTCAAGACCAGTCCGGCCAACAAGGTGAAACCCCGTCTCTACTAAAAATACAAAAATTAGCCAGGTGTGGAAGTGTGTGCCTGTAATCCAGCGACTCAGAAGGCTGAGGCCGGAGAATAGCTTGAACCTGGGAGGTGGAGGTTGCAGTGAGCCTAGATTATGCCACAGCACTCCAGCCTAGGTGACAGAGCCAGACTCCATCTCCAACATAAATTTAAATAAATAAAACACACATCCCCATGGCTCCAGGGTAGAAGCCCCGCTCCTAGCCAGGTGCATAGCCTGCTGAGTAGAGACCAAAGCGGGCAGGGGGAGGGAGTGCAGAGGGAAGGGGCTAGGCTAGTGGGACAATCTGCAGGTGGTAGGCAGCTGTGGGACAGAAGTTTAGAGAGGTTGGGAGAGGGGAGGGGGCCTGTTAAGGAAGTTCCAAAATTCAGATCTGCAGATGATGCAGATTGAAAACTGGGAGCCCAACAGTCTATTAGGGGAAGGAGTGTGGGCGTGGGCAGCACAACCACCACTCCCAACTCACTCCCGACTCACTCCCGTTTCATAGAGGAAGAAGCTGGGGCACAGAGAAATTAAATTGCTTACCCAAGCTCACACAGCTAATAGGTAGTGGAGCTGGGATACAAACCTGATTTCAGAGTCCACACTTCTTAACCAGCCAGCAATGTGGCCTCCAGAGTGTGGGCTAAATATAGGAGGAAGAAAGGAATAGAAGGATGTTAAGTTCCTGCAATGAGCAAGTACTTGTTAATTTTATTGCATTTAATATTTACAACAGGCTTTGGGTGTGGGTATTATTATTCTATGTTATAGATGAGGCAGTGACAAACAAATTACTGGAGTTCACATAGTTACTAACAGCCAAAGTGAGGACTCGAACCCAGCACATTTTAGGTACCGAATGGATCCTCTTTCTACTTGCACGCTTCATTAGCAAAAGGTGTAGAGTCAGTCTCTGCCTCTCAGAACAGCTTCTCTCCTTCCTACCTGCCCCCTAATTTTAAGACCCTACCTCCAAGATTTGCTCTGTGTTTGTCCCCACAGTGAACACATGAAAGGAATTTGCTCGGGGACGAATTCCTCTCACTGTCCATGGTGGGGACAAACACAGGGCAAATCTTACATGTTTTTCCTCAATCCTTAAAATTAGGAAATGCTAGGACTAGAATACCTTCTGGAGGATACTAGAAGGTACTGTAAAATGATGCAGTTAGATCTAGTACCTTCTACTACTAGAAGGTACCTGGCTTAACATTTAATCTAACTGCAGTTAAGGAAACTGAGGCCCAGAGAGCTCAAGCAACTTACCTAAGGTCACACAGCCAGCTGGTTACAGATCCAAGACTGACTGATTCAATGCTGTTTGCTCGATGCTGGGCTGTGTTTGTACCCGGTGGCCTGAGCGTCCTGGGTCTCCTTGGAGCACTGCCAGGCCAGCCAGCAAGTACTGTCGGGTCACTCAGTCAGTATGAATTCAGCCTTAAGCGTAGGCTGGAGGATGCAAAGGATGAAACTCCAGTAAAAAACAATCAACTTATTTTATATCTGCTTGCTGTTAAAAATCCAGGCAGTGTAGAAGTGTGTCCGGAAACACTTGAAAGCACCTCCCTCCCTCCCGGCCCTCCCCATTCCACTCCCCAGGGGTAGCCACTTAACAGTGCTGTCTCCAATGGCTCCTTCATTTGCCTGCCAGCCGTTGGGTTGTGTAGGATCCATGCCACAGCAAGGCTATTTTTAACAAGCATCCTAGGCTTCAGGGGGTTGAGGAGAGGGGAAGAAAAAAAATATTCCATTTGTATATTTTTAATCCATACACATTTGAGCAGGCAGTGGCTTTCCCGTCCCTCCTGCCAAGGGTTGTGGGGAATTGATTAGACTCTCTAGGTGCAGGCTTATCCTTTCTCTTCCCCTAACAAGGCTGGAGGGCCGGGGAGGGGTTCGGGTGATGTTTCCAGGGACGATGGCTGTCTCAGCTGGCTGCCTCCCGATCCTGCCTGCCCCAGCCCTGTCCCTCCTGGCAGCCTCGAAAATCCTGGCTGGGTCTCCTGTGGCAGAGAAGGCCTGGGAACCTGACTCTTTGTGCCAAGCTCATATTTAGAAATGTCTCCAGCCAGACATTGGCATCGGTCCCACTTGGGCTCTGGGCAGGGGGTGCAGTCACATGTGCTGCCTTCGAGTGGGCAGCTTCTGAGTGGGCAGCAGCCCACTTTGACTATAAACACAATCCCTTTATGCAGACGAGCTGGCATGGGAACCTGTGCTCCTGGGCACTGGGAGGGGGCAAGCTCTGGTAGACAGTAGGGAGAGGGAAGAAAGATGTCACAAGGCTTAGACTGGGAAATACGGTGTTGCGGGAGGGGTCCCAGCTCCCTGGTTCCACCAGCCCTATCCATTTTCTGCAGCTCTTTCCTGGCTGCCCAGGGCACTGTCCCTGCCTGGCTACGAAGGCCTGCAGCCCCACAATGGCCCTGATAGACTTTCTTTTCCTTTCCTTTTTTTTTTTTTTTTTTTTTTGAGACGGAGTCTGGCTCTGTCGCCCAGGCTGGAGTGCAGTGGCCGGATCTCAGCTCACTGCAAGCTCCGCTCCCGCGTTTACGCCATTCTCTCTGCCTCCGCCTCCAGAGTAGCTGGGACTACAGGCGCCCGCCCCGCGCCCGGCTAGTTTTTGTTTTTTTAGAGAGCGGGTTTTCACCGTGTTAGCCAGGATGGTCTCGATCTCCTGATCGTGATCCGCCCGTCTCGGCCTCCAAAGTGCTGGATTACAGGCTTTGAGCCACGCGCCCGGCCCTTTCTTTTCCTTTCTACCTCATGCATTCCCCAGTCCATGGGACAGGAGTGAGGCTTTGGAGGGAGCCTCCCCGACCCCTACCATGGCAGGGTTTGGCTCCATCTTCCCCTCAACATCTCCAGATCACACTTGTAAAATGTGGCCCTGGATGTCACCATCTCTGAGGGCCCTTTCAGCGTTGACGGTGAATTATTCCACAGTTTCTTGCTCATCCCGTGTTCTTTTCTGTGACAGTGCATGATGATGGGTGAATTAGACCAACTGATCCCAGCTTTAAACAGTAGGCCTCTAAGGTAACAAGCAGCATGCCGTAGCCCTGTGAAAACTCTCCTTTCTTTTACAACAGTTCCTTTAAGGAGAGTCGTTCACTCATGCCTCAGATATTTAATGAGCACCTACCAAGGGCAGGCCCTGTGCTGTCACCAGCTCTACAGTGGCGAATAAGACCTATCTCACTGATGGGTGGTGGGGTGGGAGCCTGTCCGCTCTCCTCACATCACACCTCTGCAGGTCTTCCCTGGGGACTGAAGTGGCTTGCTCACTAAATTCAACTCTCTGGAGAGGAGGCTGCTTTTCTGCAGCTAAATCTTCAGAGAGAATCCAAATGCAGCCACAGGCCTTGCCTCCTACAGCCTGAGACCGAGCCAGGGCTATGTCCTCAGGCCCCTGGCAGCTCCACTTCTCCCTGTCCTATCCTTCCTTCCTCTGCCCACATCTCCGGGGGAAAAGCGCTCCAAGAAGTAGTCAAGAAGGCTGAACAGATATTTTCTTTGTATCTCCTGGGAACAACATGATAAATCCAGAATCACAGAATGGATGGATGGATGGGTAAATAAGCAAGTGAGCAAATGAATGAAGAAATAAATAGATACTCAGTTCCAGCTCCAAAGGAACTGAAAATTCAGATGAAGAGAAATGGCTTGTAGAGTGGTGGCACTGTGGTACTGAAGGGGGCCCTTGGGAACAGACTCACCTCCTTCTTTTATGAGAAAGGAACCGCAGGCTCAGAGGAGAGGGGCTGCCGCAACGCCGGTGACAGAGTGCAGAGGTCAGAGGATGGCGAGCTTACGCAGGGTGGTGAGATCCAGAACCGAGTGCAAGGCTGCCCTAAGTGTCCCTTGTCCTTGGAAAAAATTGCCTTTTCATATGGTTGGGAGTGGACGGTGCAATTTTTCTTCGAGGGTTAATTGTTTTGCTGACAGCACAGATAATTAGGAATGAGAATCCTGGAGTGAGGGCGACAGCACCATCTGCTGTGAATATGTTTCAACCCCACCTTGCAGGAGAGCTTGGAAGTACTCCTATCCTCACCCTCCCCACCCCAACAAAAATGAATGTGCTGTAGCTGTTTGCCTCTGGGGCCACGGCTGCCAGGTGACCTGCAGCCAGTAGGGGTGGGATGGTGTCCATTTTATTAAGGGTATAGTTTCTTCTCCTTCCCCCATCGCATCTACTGCACATAGCAGGGCTCATTGAAAGTCCCAAGGCTGAACGAGGATCCATAGACAGCCTGGGACAAAGAGCGATGATGCCAAGGGGCAGATTTTCTGTTCTTCCCTGAGCCTGAAGTCTGGAGATCTAGTCCTCTGTTGACTAGAGGTGGCCGCGTGGGGCTGCACTGAGCTGCATGCCTGCCATTAAGGTTGGAAGTCATTTTCCTGCCAAACTCTGTGGGTCTGCTATGTACCCTGGGTTTCCTGGCCTTTGGCCTGTGCTACTTGTTCCAGAAGGAGGTTGGCCCTGCCTTTCCTCGCTAAGTAGGAAGGTCCTAGGTTGTGAGTTTCTCTCTGTCAAGAGAAGAGCTGCTTTGGAATCAAGCAGAGAATCCCATTGTCCAGGAGCAACTGAGATCTTTCGTCAAATGGGCTGACTTCTATGGGTTGTTTTCATTTTTATTATTTAATAATATATTCCACACATAGAGTGTATGAAATGTATATGCACATTTTGGAGATAATAATAATTGTTTTGCTCTTTCGAAGGGGCTTCTAACCTCCGTTGCTTTGCACAGAAGTGACTTGGCGCCTGAGCTGTAGAGGGCCAAGTTGCTGGGAGGCTCAGGGTCAGCCTAGCCTCTTCAAAAGCACTGGCTGTTTATCGTGGCCAATTTCTTTGTGCCTGAGCTGCTCCTGTTAACTAGGAGCATCCACATTCTTGCCTTTCTTATTTATCATTCTGTTATCTCTGTGCTTTCTCCTCTTCGACCCTCCTATGAGGAAAGAAACCAAAGGCATGACTGTTTTACTCTTCTCCCCATTCCCCTGCAGCAGGGCAAACAGGCCAATGTCCCTCTCCTTCCCATTCTCACTCATCCCCCACCTCTGAGGTGACTTGGAAGGAAGATGAAATTAACCTAGGGCCAGGGAGCTTGCTGGAAAGAATGATAATTGGCTGTTTCACTTACTTACTGTGTGACCTTTAGCAAGCTTCTCAACCTCTCTGTGCATCTGTTTCCTAGTCTTTCAAACACTCCTCCACAGAGCTATTGAGAAACTAAATGGATCCCCAATGGATGCAAAAGCAGCTTGAAGAGTCTAACCATTATATATGTGTTCCTTCCTTCTTTTGCCACTCTCACCCCTGTCCCTGGGGCTTCCTTTTGTCTGCAATGCTGGGTGTCCTGATGGATATTCTTCGTCTGCCACAGTCTCTTCTCAGCAATGGCCCACTGAAGCCTGGAGGAGCCCATGTTTGAGGTGCAGCTACAAGTCACAGCCAGATAGGCACCCCAGGAGCCTACCCCTTTCACCCCCAAGAGCTGGAGGCTGTGCCTGGTCAGAGATGCAGAGCTGTAGCCAGCTTGGACTTGTCCAGAGATAGGCAGACCTCCAGACTGGGGCAGGCTGCTTCAGCCAGAAGCACTTTGGCTCCTCTTGACAGAGCGTGAGCCACAGTCTTGGCTATGAAATGTGATGGCTCTGTGGAGCCGGTGTCTCTGTTCCTCATCCCAGCAAGGTTTGTGTTTCCACTTTTGTGTCTCACTCTGGGATGAAGAACTAGGAAAAGATGTTCATCATCAGCCATAGGTGGGATGTCCTACCTGGAGCCCCCTACAAACTACAGAACACCAGAAGCCTTGCTTGGGATACCTGGGCTAGAAGAGTTAAGGAATGTTCCACATAGATGTGTCCTTGCACTTCTATGTACATCTCACAGGTGGAGTGAGAACATGCGTTTCCTTTCTCTTTCCTGGGGTGATGGAACAGCGTGAGGGAGGTTCTGTTGGCCAGTCTGGACTAAACTCTGAACAATGGCTAGGGTTTGGATGCAGGATTAGAAGGTGAGTCTTTCAGGCAGTTGAAATGAAGTATGCAGAGGTAAGAAAGGAATGAAGGGCGTATGTGTGCATGTGTGTGAGGTGGGTGTGTGTGTTGAGGCCTGGGCCTGGGTTGGTGGGCAGGACACTGTCGGTGAAAACCCTGGATGAGATCGAGTTGGTATAGTCATGAAGAACTGCAGACCCTAATAATAAAGAGAAAGAGGAGGATGGCTAGAATTTTCAAGAACAGCTAAAACCTGGACATGTGTTTCTGGCCCTGGTAGGTGATGGAGGCCTCTGTTCTTCCTGCAGATCCCTCTGAGCAGCTGGGAGCTCAGAAGCTCTCTCCAACCCTGAGGAGTGGGTCAGCCACAAGAGCAAGAAGTGATGGCGTGGAGTCCACCCAGGGCCTGAGGCATGAGCAGAATCCACGCCCATTAGACCTGGAGCCTTGGCGTTTGGGGCTGCACTGCTGGGGAGATCCAAGAAGAATCAATGTTTTGGCCCCTGGTGACGTGTACATGGTGTAATGACAGGTAATGAACCTGAGGCTTGTCTATCCTTTATGAATGATATGGCAGGTAGGAGAATACATCAGCTTGCGGTAAGCATAAAATGTCAACCCGTGGGAAGATAACTATGCAAACAAAGCACACTAAGGCCTGATAAGATGATAGATGGATGCTTTATAGTTATTAGTTTCTGCCCCATGTGCTTGCTGGAGCCAAGCACCGGAAGATTTAGCATCAGATGAGTTCACTTCCTATGGCTTATGGGAAGGCCTGATGCCTTTATGGACGTAGCATGTCATATTTGAGGAACTCAGAGTAACAAATCAAGAAGTCATTATTCCCCATCAGCTTCTGTGGGAAACAGGGAGTTCATGCCAGTGGAGAAACAGAGGCAACGACAAGTGAAGAAGCTCTTTCATTGTGTCCCTGACGTGTGAGGGATAGACCTGGAGACCTCAGTGGCTGGGAAGCCTTTAGGTCTGGTTCAGATATGTCAAATGACAGGTGTGGTGATGGGTGAGTCCTGCTTGTTAAAAACAAAAGGCTTTGTGTCTTCCCATTCTTTCAAGAATGCCCAGGCATTTAGCAGATGATCAAAGGTGGATGAGGTAATGGGTAGGGGTCTGGAGAGGACAGTAGGGGCCTATCAGATACTTTGGGTCTAGCAGTTGATTCAGGGAAGTCAGCCAAGCCTGGAAGCATCAAGCAAGTCTCTAGGGCCTAGAAGGCAGGGCCTTGAGACTAGAAGGACAGGGGCCAGCCAGTAGGCTGGAGACCCCAAAGGTGGGTTCTGATCCAATGGCAGACTGCGTTCCCATGGATTTTCTGGTCTTTGCTGTGTGCGTCATATGAGGTACCACCCTGGCAACTTCCACCGTGGGGAAAATGGTAGGCTGGGGTGG